TTAATATCTTGCATTTGTCTTATGTACTGTACACATGTGGATTTTACAGCAGGCTCCTAAACGATACTGCGAGGCTGGAAATACTAGTAAGTAATTTCTAGTATTATCTAGCTTGAATATTATTTATGCATTAATATTATACAGAGAGTGGCTAGACAGATAACAGTGACTTTTTTATTATCAGTTATAGTGGTTCTATTATTAACATTTGGATGTTATTATTTGCTTTGCTTGTTTAGAATCACTGCATCAGGGACTCCAGAATTATTTTTATTTTTAAAGGGGGGCAGGGCTTAGTTTAGGTCAGCAGGTTGTAATTTACTTTAATCTACTTTCAGGTAAATTTTCACAAAAAAGGGAAAACACAGAATCCATTGTATTGAAACAACAAGAACCAATTGGAGCAGGAAACAAACTACGATGAAACCATCAGCAAAATAATAGAGGAAATATTACACCATGTGATTAAAAATGGAAAATATGATAATAATCTATTAAGTGAATGCAAAAAACTTCTAACACATCTACACCTCCCCTACTACACTATTTAAAAAACAAAAGCTGTGGAGATATATTAAAAGGTATCAGGGTCACATACGTAATACTCTCAAAATAAAATGCAGGACTTATATATCTACCAAGCATAGGGTACATAGAATCTCTTGATGCAAAACCAGAAGTTAGTGACATACAGTGTAGTGGACATATTTGCTCATGACAATAAATGATTTAGGGTGGTGAGAAAAAAAAAAGAAATCGTAAAGAATTCCAAAAGGATCTGTTTACACTGGGACAACGGACATTTAAATGATACATGAAAGCAAATGTAAAATTGTGCATACTGAAGCAAAAATATCCTGACTTCACATATAGACTGACGGATGTGAGAGTCAAGGGGTGGTAGTGGTTTGAGACCAGGGTTGAATCCCTGCTCGGCCATGGAAACTTACTAGGTGACCTTGGACAAGCCACACTCTCTCAGCTTCAGAGGAAGGCAATGCAAAACCTCTGAACAAATCTTTCCAAGAAAATCCAATTATAGGTTTGTTTTAGAGTCTCCATAAATCAGAAATTACTTGAAGGCACACAACAACAAAATGTGATCTGGCAGGAACTGACCAAGGGATCTGGTGTGTGTGTGTGTGTGTGTGTGTGAAGATTGATATATCTGTAACAATGTCAACCCAGCATGTGGCTGCCATAAAAAAAACAAAAACAAAAAAACATAAGGCAAATTCCAAAGTGGAAATAATTAGGAACCAGAACGAGCACTGCTAGTATCATAGTGCCTTTACACAAATAAATAGTATGGCCATATCTGGAATTCTGGTGACGGCATTTAAGAAGGATGTTGTAGAGATAGAAAAGGTGCACAAAAAGAACAATTAAAATGATGAAAGGATTGGAGGAACTCACCTTCGAGAACCGATTACA